TACCAAGACTACCTCTACTACCTGGACTACCAGGTTACCTCTACTACCTGGACTACCAGGACTACCTCTACTACCAGGACTACCTGGACTACCTCTACTACCTGGACTACCTCTACTACCTGGACTACCTCTACTACCTGGACTACCTCTACTACCTGGACTACCTCTACTACCTGGCTACTACCGGACTACCTCTACTACCTCTACTACCTGGACTACCTCTACTACCTGGACTACCTCTACTACCTGGACTACCTCTAGGACTACCTGGACTACCAGGACTACCTCTACTACCTGGACTACCTCTACTACCTGGCTACTACCAGGACTACCTCTACTACCTGGACTACCTCTACTACCTGGACTAGCCAGGCTAAGGGCTACATCATAACCACGCTAATATTCAGGTTATCTGGAGTATAAAATTATTAAAATCCAAGAGAAATTAGTTTTCATTCTTGTTAGCAGTGTATATGTCGTTGTAGATTCTCTACTACCTGGACTACCTCTACTACCTGGACTACCAGGACTACCTCTACTACCTGGACTACCTCTACTACCTGGACTACCAGGACTACATCTACTACCTGGACTACCTCTACTACCTGGACTAGCCAGGCTAAGGGCTACATCATAACCACGCTAATATTCAGGTTATCTGGAGTATAAAATTATTAAAATCCAAGAGAAATTAGTTTTCATTCTTGTTAGCAGTGTATATGTCGTTGTAGATTTTATGTAATCTATGTATAGTTTTAAATTTAGTATTTACGTTTCAGCCAATCACAAGCCTCGATCATATAGTTAGGTACTGACCCAAAAATCGCGAGATAACGCTGGATCGTTGAGAAAATCGAGATATAAATCAAGCAACAAGTCACACGTATTTGTATCGAGGAGTCCGATGTCTACCAAGCGTACTCACCTTAGAATGTAGACTTGAACCTTCCTCTCGGTTCGTATTTGCGAGGCCATTCTTCGCTCCTCGCCTGTTCAACACCAATTATTTCGTCCGTTTTCGCTTCGATTTCGATATACTTCGTCCACAATACACTTCAATGTAATACAAACACACTACTTCTATTTAAACTATAATACTCTGGAAAAAATGTACTTTAATAAAGCAATTTCTCTCGCATGGAAAATGCTCGCTTCGCGGCGGCCATTTCGCGTGCAAGTGAAGCCTACCACATTTCCCATGATGCTTAGCTATAATGGGAATTGCCTATTAAGGGTAATAAATCCATGTCCTATATACGCGAATATGAGACACACTCGCTCTATATTCACATGTACACCGTTATCCACTGTTATCTAGTGTCATCTACCGTTATCCACGTCATCTAGTGTCATCTACCGTCATCTAGTGTCATCTAGTGTCATCTACTGTCATCTACCGTCATCTACCGTCATCTAGTGTCATCTATCGTCATCTACCGTCATCTAGTGTCATTTACCGTCATCTAGTGTCATCTACTGTCATCTACTGTCATCCAGTGTCATCTACCGTCATCTACTGTCATCTACTGTCATCTACCGTCATCTAGTGTCATCTAGTGTCATCTAGTGTCATCTACCGCCATCTAGTGTCATCTACTGTCATCTACTGTCATCTAGTGTCATCTAGTGTCATCTACCGTCATCTAGTGTCATCTAGTGTCATCTACCGTCATCTACTGTCATCTACTGTCATCTACTGTCATCTACCGTCATCTACTGTCATCTACCTGACATTTACCTTCATGTAGTTTGTAGACATGGCATTGCAATCTAACCAAACCAAGCGAATAACTAACAACTAATATAATCAACAACTTTGATCTGCCTTATCACACTTGCAAATTAAAAATGGATTTAAAACTTTACAAGTTCTTCCAAACTCCAAAACGCTGGAAATGCCATTTCAGTGTACGAAAATTAAAAAAAAATTGTGGGTAGCAAACCTTCCTGATTTGGAGTCGGTAATCTATGCACAGAAATTCTTAATTTTGTAACAGCCAGGCGGTGTTTAACATTTTGCTGAAGTCTTTTAGTTTTCCATTTTCTTTCAGTTTTTTTTTTAAATAATTCTTAAACTCTTCATTAATTTAAGTGTATTTTTCAAATAATGGCAAAAATTTCCCTGAGTGAGTGTCATGAGGGACTGTAAAGTACCTAAGATTTCCAACATTCCAATTTGCACATTTTCAGTAAATAATCCGTACAAATTGCTGGTTGAAGATTAATATATGCATACACACTCCAGCAGCATCGCCAGGCAGATATAAAAACTTGCATCCTCAATGTGTAGCCAGCATTTAACGACATGCAAAGAAATTTGTATATGTCCAACTAATGGTATCCTTTCTAATTCAGCATAAATTGCTATATTTGTAAAATCGGGAAATCGACAGCTGAATCGGGTGTTGAGGCATCAATTTCCCGTTTGTAGTTTAAAATAACTGAAAAATGCAAATTTCGAAGGCCATTTTACAACATTTCGCAACGAAACCTATATCAAAATTTAGTCTATAATGCAAATGGTCCATTGCGTATTCATTTTCCGGATAGCAAATACCTTTGTGGCTTCGTAAGCGATGAAATATTCGGAATTTTTTTTCGTCATTCCGAAATTTCTGGGCTACACCCTTCAACTATACATGCTCGCAACGGACATGCCCCCCCCGGTCGCCATTACTTCTGGAAAATGCCCCCTCCCCCTCCAACTTTTTGATGCTTTCTACGCTCCTGCCGGGAAAAACGTTTTCCTATATGGCATATGAACACAACTTTCCCGCTTGGTGGGATAACTTTCTGTCGTGCCAGAAACTTTTCAATTCAATTGATGTTCAATGCTACGTCATGACGGTACATGACAATAGATGACAGTAGATGACACTAGATGACGGTAGATGACACTAGATGACGGTAGATGACGATAGATGACACTAGATGACGGTAGATGACAGTAGATGACAGTAGATGACTGTAAATCACACTAGATGACGGTAGATGACACTAGATGACGGTAGACGACGGTAGTTGACAGTAGATGACAGTAGATGACAGTAGATGACGGTAGATGACGGTAGATGACGGTAGATGACAGTAGATGACACTAGATGACGGTAGATGACACTAGATGACACTAGATGACGGTAGATGACAGTAGATGACGGTAGATGACACTAGATGACACTAGATGAAACTAGATGACGGTAGATGACGGTGGATTACACTAGATGACGGTAGATGACACTAGATGACGGTAGATGACGGTAGATGACAGTAGATGACAGTAGATGACGGTAGATGACACTAGATGACACTAGATGACGGTAGATGACACTAGATGACACTAGATGACGGTGGATTACACTAGATGACGGTAGATGACGGTAGATGACAGTAGATGACACTAGATGACGGTAGATGACGATAGATGACAGTAGATGACACTAGATGACGGTAGATGACAGTAGATGACTGTAGATGACGGTAGATGACACTAGATGACACTAGATGACGGTAGATGACACTAGATGACACTAGATGACGGTGGATTACACTAGATGACGGTAGATGACGGTATATGACACTAGATGACGGTAGATGACACTAGATAACACTAGATGACAGTAGATGACGGTAGATGACAGTAGATGACGGTAGATGACAGTAGATGACGGTAGATGACACTAGATGACACTAGATGACGGTAGATGACGGTATATGACACTAGATGA